CGATCTGGATGAGTTTCGTACCGGCACGCGTTCGTGTGATCACTACTGCGTGATGCACGTTAAAAACCCCAGGTTAGCGGTTGTACTGCACTGGCTAAAAAGAGACCGATTACCCGGTGAGGCGCATCTCCATCAAGGCTGTATAAACATAAAGAGCAAGCCAATTTTTTTTTTTTTTTTTACGACACAGGGGGACGAGACGGAGTGAGCAGCGAGACGACATGGGACCAGCGGCCAGAATGAACCGAGACGCCACAGATCTATACCTGCAACCGCCAACAGAGCTTGCTTAGTTATTAACGTTTAGCTAATTGTTAAAAAATGTAAAGTTTTCTAGAAGACAAAGAGAGAAAGAAAAAGAGAGGGAGAAAGAGAGACTGTGTGAAATATACATTATTTCAAAAACTCGATTAAAAAAATGTTTTCGCAGCCGTAGAACTGAAAAGGAAGAGACGATGCTTTTTTAGATATATTCATTGAAGTTTACGTTGTCCAGGTATATTAGACCTGTGAACAGCGGGTTTTGCGGGGGACCCAATTTGTGATAAAGCAGAGGTATACCGAAATTGCACCATGAAACACTGCACAAAGCATAGCAATAGTTTGTTTTTAGTTTGCGATCAGTATATTAAACCTATAGTTTTCACATGCAAGCCTCAGTTGCCAGGCTGGGTGGACGCGCGGACCACACCGCTAAAATATGAAGTGCGCTGAACGTTTGTAAAACGTATAGTAGTCAACATATCGAAACTATTCTTACAGATATATTTCATTGTTTTATAAAGGTACGAAATTGGTGTACTGCTTTAGAATATTTTTTTTTATCAAGGGGAATATTATTGAATTATGAAATGCATTTGTTGATTTCATTTAAATGTATTTGCCAATTCCCTTTCCATCACAATTGCAATGAAATACAATTTCTGACTTTTTATCGATGCGGAAGTAAATTAGACGTTTTGATGTTTAGCCGGCAAAATTTCGATCTTGCCTTTAGATGGGGCGACACTGGTTAAATGTGACTGCTAACCTGTAGTGTTTAACGTACGTCAGGCAGCAGCAGTATGATAGACAACAGCACGCCAGTACGATGGTCATTTGGATCAAAACTGACACGAGGTCTGATTTTTTTTTTTTATTATGCAGCACAGGAATTCGCTTGTTGTGCTCCGTGCTGTTAAAAGCTAACAGTGTTGGACAAAAAACTCGATACAAGTATTTCGGTTACTAAATACCTGCTTCATAAAGTATTTAAAATACTACTCAAGTTGCTTTTACAGTAAAGTGTCTGGAGTAGAGTAGAAATACTCAGAAATGTAATTCAATTTATTTTGAGGGCACTTCCGCGTTGCGTAATTTGTATCGACGTCAGTTGCAAATACAATTATACAGATCGCAAATCTGGTTAACCAGAATGGTTTATTAGCACGCAACAACACAAAACAAAAAAAAAAAAAAAAACGCAGGGCTTTTTTATGCAGTTCAAGTATAAGGAGTACGATATCACTGATACATGTTACAAAACATTTCGAACCCCCCCTCCAAAAAAAGGAGGCCGTTTTAGCTATAGTGACATGACTGAATGTCACGTCCTGCGGCGCACCTTATACTCCGTGTCATTAGTTGCGTGCGGTACAGGCGAAGGCAACGCCAGGCGGGGCGAGAAAGGGCAAGCACTAGGAAGGCTGAGGAGGAAAAGAGAATCCTGCTCTCCTCTCTAACGTTCCTAGTGCTCTCCCTTTTTCCCCTCGCCCTCCATTGCCCTCCTCTCCCCCGTCTTCCTATTACTCACCCTTTTTCTCTTCCCCTGGCGTTACCTTCGCCTCCACTGCACGCAACTAGTGACACGTAGTATAGAAGCATCGTTTAACTAGAGAGAGAGAGAAGTAGGCGTTTTCTGTTTTGTCCTCTGCTTATCAATATTCGCTCACAGACAGTGTTGGAAAAAGAACAATAAGTGCCAGACTGACGACCAAAAGGAAAGAAACAAAGCAAAAAAAGAAAACAAAAAAAACTCAAAGTTCTGCCGTAACGGGGTCAAAAATACAAGAAAAAAAGTGTCTCCCTTTTGTATCTACTTCTCATTTTCTTCTATATTTTTATTTTATTGACACTGAAGTCTGCATTGTTGTAGAGGTCGTTTTCCATTCTCCGTTGCGCCTCGGTGTGGCAATCTTTACTTCGGTGAAGCCATCCCCTTTTTTTTAAGGATTTTTTTGGGGGAAATTTTAGGACAAAAAAAAGCGCCTTTGGGAAGGCGAGGGAGAAAACCTTCATTGTACGAGCTTTGGTGTGAAATATGAGTCACAATTGGCACAAAAGCGATGTGTTCACGAGGTTAATCTAAGTCACCGTAGCTTATCGGAGCTAGCAACGGGATTTAATTGCTCGAAACAATATTCACGTTGGCTCGTGCCACACCCACGCCACTTCACACCGAAAAACTCGGAAAATGGCGGAATGTCAAAAATGCATTTGAGATAATGAGTACAACACACTCAGAAATGTAATTAAAATACCGTCAAAAGTATTTGCAAGATACCAAAATATTTCTAAAAGTATTTGAAATACCGTATCTTGAGTAGAGTATTCGAGATTGGCACAAGACTGAAGTTAACTCACTTGGCCACCGACCCCAACTTGGCGGTGTGAGTCGTATGTCAAAAGTACGACTCTCGCCACGATTTGATCACAACAATTGAACAAGAAAAAAGGTAAAGGAGGAAAGCAAGGAACGCATGCGCGGTGTTCAGCTATAACATTTTTACAGATTGTGTTAACTTTTTTTTTAATTTTTTTTACAGCTGGTGAGGTTGTAGTTGTAGAAAAGAAGATGCTTAGATTGAAACTCACTAAACCACTACGCAGTTGTTTTTTTGTTTTTTTTATTGAACGCGAATGAGTGATAAACAGCCACGCTGCCTTTTGGAAACAATATTTTCTTTTTAAATATTAAAGTCTACAAGGTTCTGCTCGAATGTTTCCTCCTGTAGAAGGTTCATCCAGTCTTCCGCTCTGATTTACATAAAATACATTTCATTGGCACTTTTTTATTTTATGTCTTTGATTGCAGTAATTTTATACAGACTCCATTATCTATCCGGGACAAAATTTAAGGCCCAGATGTGAAGCTATGGAAATCATGCGTATTTGGAAAAGTTATAAAAATGATAAAATTCCCGTCATTTTATTTGCGTTTTGAATTTGAATAGATTTCTCGAAATTGCACTTACATTTGTAATTAAATACATTTCGAAAAATAAGTTTTATTTATGCTTCACTACATGTTTTAAGTATTTTGCCCATTTGTGCTTTAAAGCCCGAATATTCAACAATAGATACCAGTATAATGGTGTCGCCAAGGCAGAGATACCACCTGCTCTCGAATTTATCTTTCCCTTTCGTCAAAGTAGCCTGCAAGGGCTCCGCCTCCCACTACACTCGATTTTACATCAAGAACAGCGGTGAAATTTTTCGGCTTCTTTCGAAGCGCTAATATTCGCCCCTCTTGGTTGTTTAATGGGCGATGTGCAAAATAGCAGCGCCCCTAGCGGCCCAAGTGCACTCTGGGAACATGAGACTGTCAACGGGTAGATTCGATCTCGGATTTTGCCGGTTTTAGATCTATGGTCTGCTATCGCCTCCGCACCGCCATTGCTCATGCCGTAATAAATTGCTCCAAAAAAACAAAACAAAAAAACAAGGGCTGTGGTGTGTTTATTAAGTCTAAACTTAGTCTGCCTCAACGGCCGACTTGTCTCTGAGCTGTAGATGAACAATTTAGCCAGTGCAATACAACTACTAGCCTGGAGTCTTTAACGTGCACCGCGCAGTCATAATACACGACCGCATGCCTGTGCGCGATGCTCATCCAGATCAAAATGGGCAGGGATGGGAATTTAACCCAGGATCCCTGAGTTCTGCGGCGCGAGCTCCGAGCTGGTATGCGCATTACAGCTGTGGCTCTTCAGGGGGTCCGCGGAGGCATTTGAGAGACCCGCGACACTTATCCACTTAAGTGGATAAGATATAGATAAGATATAGATAAGATAGAGATATATCCACTTATTAAGTAATTTTCGTAACTAATATACTGAAAAACCATTATTGTTCGCGAGCCCTTAATTTTCGCAACATGCGCGAATTGAAAAAAAAAAAAATCGAAATTCAGGGGCACGCGAAAATTTTGGTCCTGAAGAGTTTCATTGCAGGCGTATGGAATATCACGGAATTTATTGGCCGCGTTTATGTGCTCTATGACCAATTCGCGAGCAATAAGAGGCCGCAAAAATAAACGCTTTCCCTTCCCCTCATCACGAACGGGTTCCTCCATCATCTCTGCCGATTCGCAAGGGGTCCGCGAAACATGAATGGTTGAGATTCACTGCATTACAGGAAGTGGAGTTTAGACTGGTTGCTGTCTGCTTTAAATAGTACGAGGTTCATTTGATTTTCAGTCGAGGTTTGTTTTTTTCACACAGTTGCTTCCGAAAACCGAAGTGCCAAGAAAAACTAAATCTCCGCGTAACAACTCCGCTACCCACCATAAGACATAACGCGTAGCTCGAATATTTTGCTCCTGGCAGCGCTACTTTCTCGCGCTTCTTTCGAAATGAGAACGGTGTCTGATCATTTCAAGGTCGGCAGTAGCATTGCCTTCATCTGCGTTTCCATTAAACGCCCGTTCTATTATATTATTATTTTTTGTTTGAAAACGAGCTCGTTCTGGTTTGTCATCGACCATTCTTGACCCACTTTCGACATGCGCGCATTTTCTCATTTTTGCGCACCGTTTTCTCACCATATATGTGAAGTAATTAGGACGATGTTTTAGACAATTCATTGAAGCGAGCACAAATTTAATATCGCAAACGCTGCAGCATCAGCAGAAGCGTTTGCAGAGTCAAGCAACGAAATCATTCGAGAGAAAAATTCCACACAGGCGTCGCCAAGTGTACGCTCAATGCGCCAGAACGCCGCGAATAACGGATTTCACTCACTCCGGTTCCACGTCTCGCTCGCAGGCTCTAGAGCAGTTCTCGAAGCCGTTGTGGAACGAATTCCGGGAAAGACCGTCGAGCTCCTGGAAGTTCTCCATTATCTGTCGTAACGTACTCTCCGTAGAACTCGGCGTCGATGTCGGTCTTGAGCCTATTTGAATCCGTCCGCTGTCGCCGCAAGCCGGACGCGGAAGGCAAGAGATACGATTGCGCGAAAGGCGCGGCGCGCATTCGCTGCCTGTCGGAGTGATAACGGGAGCTTTGGACAGGACAGCACGGCCTTCGCACCGTCAGCGACGTCGGGCGACTGCTCCGAGCAGCTGTTTTGGTTCGCGCAACTCGGTGGCGCCAGGGGGGGGAGAGGGGCTTTCGCCGCCACAGGCGAGATCGGAGTGTCGACTGCGTGCTAATGACAAAAAGAAAAAAGAGAGAATAACGAAAACGACATGACACAACAGCACTCAGAGCCTAGCTCGTTCTTCTAGAACAGTGGTTCCGCCGTGTAGAGTATGGAGACATTAGAGTTGTAGCAGATACGTGCGACAATCCATGTACAAATCCTGAACGCTGCTACCCAAAATATCGGATGATGGGGGTATCGTGATGTGTTCAGATACCAGCTGTAGCCAACCGTACTTGGTGCGAGAAGAAAAAAACGATTGACGCGTGAAAGTGAAGCGCGCCCAAGCGAGGGTTCGTAGCTGTAACTCAACAGGTACTTTTGTTTACATATGAAGAGCCTGCCACATGAAAAGGTCACGGAACTTTTATAGCCTGACCAAGACAGTGGATTAGCGGAGGAAGCCTTCCGCTCCGTCATCTTCGCTTTCTTGGTAACACGGTGCTGGCAGGCACTGTGATCTCTAGCTCTTCTGCTGTGTACGAAAGGGGGATCGGTGGCCGAGTGGGCCATATGTTTCCTCACGACAGATAACGAGGATGGCGTGCCCTACGAGATGTTTATGGTACTGAGTCTCCACAGTATGTAGAAGTCCAGGATGGCTGTTTGACATGCCGACTTGGACGCTCGTTTGGTCTAAGACTACTTTATTGAGAGCGTGCGTTATTTACGAGAAGTTATAAAGTCGCAGAGCGAACCGCCAGAACGGCTGTCTGTGCTAGACAAACTTGTTGATTGGAAACTATTTTAGGGTCTGTGTACTGGCAAATGGCGACTGGTCTGTGTAAGTTAGAAGTGTAGTGTCTCACTGCATCGGTGTCGTGTATCCAACAGGAAATCAAGAAGAAAAAAAAATCGGTGGCCGAGTGGGCTAGCGCGTACCAGCTCGGAGCACGTGAAGCGAAAGCTCGCGCTGCAAAACCCAGGGATCCTGAGTTCAATCCCCACCCCTGCCCGTCTCGGTCTGGATTGGCATTGTACCGGCGTGCGGTCGAGTATCACTACTATGTGATGCGCGTTAAAGACCCCAGGCTAGCGGTTGTACTGCACTGGCTATATTACTCATCCACAGATGAGACACCAGTCTCCCACTAAGGCAGACTGACTTCCGGCTCTATAAACATACATCCAATTTTTTTTTTTTTTTTTTTTTTTGCGGTTTACAACAAAACAATTTTGGACAGCATAGCTTGCACGACTGTTTGTTAGGAAATTATTTTTAAATTGTACGAGGATTTTGTTTTCTACTTAAAGAAATTAGTAATGTTTGTTTTTAATAACGTTTTGTATTTTTTTTTTGGCATCTTTCAGGAACAAGCAGCGACTACGCTTAATAGTCAGGTGTAGTTGACACCATAATAAGATATTCCCGAAAGTTTTAAATATTTATATAATATGATGCCTATTTCATTAATATTCCTTCCACATAGTGCTCTGATTCAGTCATATGTTAAAAATACTGCTTTCTTTCGTATGTCTAAAAAAAATTAAAAAATAAAACAAGTTCTGATACTTACTGATGAGATAAGTCTCAAGGTGCGTAGCTAGCCTAAACATTGCGTTTACATATGAATAATGTCACGCTCAAGCACAAGCTTGAGCATATAAATGCTAAATCGTTCACTCCCAAATATTTTAAACAGTATGCAGAATTATGGAATGCATTATCTGACTAATGTCAGAAAACACATTCGCTTTGTCTCTTTGCAATGTGTCATGTCCTGCTAGCTTGTGTGCGTCCACTTCTATTAGAGCTTATCTTGATAATCGAGTACTCTTATATTACTTTCACCCCTAACGTTGGGGGCAAAAATTTTACTTCTTTTCCTCTCTTTACATGAGGGAGACAATAAAGTTAAGGTTGAAACCTGGGGGCACCCTGGGGATCTAAAGCGTTGGCTCAGGTTTCCCATCTGCCGCCAAATCGTCAGTGATCATTTCTACTGCGAGCGGACCAAGGGCAACTGATAAAAGCCGCTGATAAAAGAGCGTCGTAGTGTATACGCCGAGGCCCTTCCGATCGCGGCGCGGGCGATAACGCTCATTAAATGTCTCCGTGTTGTTGAACCGGTGTGCGGTGTCATTCCCCGACACGGGTAGCAGCAAGGAAATTGCCACAAACCATTAAATACCAAAAATAAAATGTCTTATCTATTTCCAGGCCTCTGTCGATATGGGCAGGCACCTTTCGTTGCAAGAAGTTAGGAACTCGGCTGAAACGCACGTCGCACGTATTTCAGCGGAGTTTGGCAGGCCGAAACGTTGTGCCTCTATCTTAAGAAAGGCGCTAAGGAAGATTGACCTCGAAGATATGCTCCTTGGCGAAAAGTAATAAGGGTAAGCTTTCGAGACACCCTCGGGACCTTTATCATCTCAATTCGTTTATTGCACACGTGCCTTCTCGCCGGTGACGTCAGGATGCGCTTTCATTCTCCTTTCAGAACTTTTGTGATCGTCCTTAATCTGTCAAACATTCGATCTCTGAAACAAACAAACAAACAAAAACGCAAACAAACAAATAAATAAAACTATTTTAATCTTTATTGGTTTCCCGTGAACCCCTCCAAAGGTCGATGTTGCAAAATGATGAACCCGAACCGGATCAGCCATCTTCTATTAAGAGCAATGTCAGCCAGTCGACTTTGACGCTGTTAGATTAAAAACGCGATCCCTCCAAGCTTCCACCGTGGTTTTTATACACAGAGTCGAGCTTGTCCTTCGCAACTGATGATAAGTAGCAAGAATCACAACTCGTAACGTGACAGCAATACAAATACTCATCTCGACGTTCCCAATGGCAACCATCAGAGGGCGCCACTAAAGATATCTCGGAGCTATAAGACAGTTTTAGTGGACCGTACGAAAAAGCTTTTCGTACGCAAGGAAATGGCGGTTCGAGACTGCGCAGGCACAGAACGCAATAGAAGGGGTGGCGCATCGAGCACGCACGCAACGCTAGGGATTTTGGGTTCGGGGCCTTTTGCAGGAAGCTCTAGGGGGATCTCGGACGCAGCGAGAGCACCAGGTTCAGGATGGCGGTTACATCGACTGGCGCAGCATGGGCGCCGTTGTGTTTGCGAAGTTCAGTTATGGTCAGTGGTACTTAAAGTTCCGGAGTGGTTCAGCTCGGCAATTCTTTCCTGGACCTACCGGAGTCGAGCCAGATCTCCGTGCAGCCGAAGGAGTGCATAGCGAAAATGTTTACCGGTCGCAATGTTCGTGAACGCTGCGATCTGCTCACCAATAAGCCCTTCCTTTCTTGCAGTTCGTTGCCGACGGATGGAAGACTCTTCAAAAAATCACCGAAGTCGTCGCCATGCACTCAACGTAAGTAGATTATTTCTTCCCGCGATAGCATTGAAAAATATGCAGTTTCCACAGAACGATTGACTGAGGCACGCACGTGACGAAGTTTGACAACGCACTGATGCTCGCAGCCACCGTGCCCCGTAGAAAAGCGCGGTTGACCAGCCAGCCGCGGCTTGGCTTAATTTTACATAAATGGATTGAAAATAACATATTGGAAAGTGGGGGCAAATGCAGCAAGGTTTGGGTCAATCCATTAATCATTCGGGCCAGAACTAGGCGTTCTGACGTCTACTCGCGCTCTCGTGTCTTCCTCTCCCTCAATCTCTCGACGCACAGGAGAGTACGTGACCCCTCTCTCGCGCGCTCACTTCTCTTACCTAACCACTCCACCTGAAAAAATGGCGTTTTGCGCCAGCTTGCCAGTTTGGTCCCTTACCGACAATATTGACTAATTTTCGTACTCGTGAAAGTCAGATTTCCTCTCCAAGGTTCAAACAAGCTGCGTTGGTAAGTGTGTTGTGGCCGTAAGAGTTACTATCAGGGGCGTAATCTCTTTGTAGCTGCACGTTTCTCGGCGGTTTTTCTTGAGGCGCGTTCACTCTTGAATGCTGCTGAAGGCTGCTAATTAGTTCTTGCATTGTTTCATCACAAAATGTCATTATGTCAACTGCACAATTCTGTACCTTAACTAACTACAAACCTTTAACTGGAACAAATCGATGCTTGATTGTTTGGAGAAATGTTTTATTGCAAGCGCATATTTCATGTGACGCAATCGGGGATGAAAGGCAGTTGCCGATACCTCAAAGATCCTTTTGCCAAAAATATTCCAGGGACATTTCCAAGCAGAAAAAAAAGAGGGCAAATGGCCGCACCGCTAAGAAATGTTCGCTTTCCGTGACCTCACCAGCGATGATGAAACTGTCAAATGAGATATCCCTGCACTTGGGCTGTGCACGTGCATTCATTTCCCCGGAAGTTCGCGAACTCTAGCAATTTCTGAAATGACAGATTTCCGATTGCCCAGTACGCGTATACGGTAATGGCGCGCATGAGCAGTAGCGACGACCCACATCCGTACCGAACAGGTTTTGTATCGCTATCACAGCGGGGCATCCAAAGAAAAGCTTTTTGGTCGTTCGACTGTGCCCGCAGACCTAATAATAATATCTTTGAAGATATCTGAAAAGCGCGCCGTGAGAACATTTCTGAAACCGGGAGTTTAAACAAGGCAATAAGAGACTATGAATACATACAACAGCATTAGTTCCGCGTCCTCCTGCAAGCTTCAATTTTTTTGTCATCGATTCGATAAGATTTTAAGTTTAGCCAGACGTTACTACCACTCCGATCCGAAACTTCCAGGACGTTCATTTCAAGCTCTTGCCTACCAGATCGTATTCGCAGCTCCAATCCGCCGCTTGCCCTCTAGCGGACAGACAAGGATTCAGATTAGTGGGGACGGTAGCAGATATTGCGGTAGTGATTATCGGCCATGATGCGGCTGTTACCCCATGGTTCTGGTCAGCGTGTTCATGCACCATGCATTTTTGAGCGAAAAACCGAGTGCGTTAAAATAGGAGTCGTCTTCCGTTGCGCAACTTTTAAAAATCGACATGCTCACTTCCTTAACGTACGTCAGCATTTCCGTCACCTGTGATAAGCCAAT